TGGAGGTTCACAAAGTGCTGCGCCTGCCACGAATTCTGCACATGGAGCTTCACAAAGTGCTGCGCCTGCCACGAATTTTCTGCGCGTCAAGAAACAAGTGAATACTCTAATCACAATGGAGGGACGGACCGGCGACCACCGCAGAAAACCGCAGACAACCGCCGACAACGCAACAGCCAGAGCCTCTAACGGAGCATGGACGTTCACAAAGTGCTGTGCCTGCCACGAAATCTGCACATGGAGGTTCACAAAGTGCTGTGCCTGCCACGAAATCTGCACATGATCTCTGTGTGTGTTGTCTCGGTGTGTGTGATCTCTGTGTGTGTGATCTCTGTATGTGTCGTCCCGGTGTGTGTTGTCTCTGTGTGTGTATTGTCTTGGTGTGTGGTCTCTGTACGTGTTGTCTCGGTGTGATCTCTGTGTGTGTGAGATCTCTGTGTGTGTGTTGTGTGTGTTGTCTCTGTATGTGTTGTCTCGCTGTGGAGGGAGGAGGCGGAGGCGGCGGGAGGCGGCGGGAGGCGGATCGGGAGGCGGATGAGACATAGAAAAGAAGAACCCCACACTAAGATGTGGGGAAAAACGATAGCGTGACGAATGTGAAAAACGATAATACACTCACCAAGTCCTGATCACCTGCAACTCCACAACAAATTTTGAGCAGTCGCTCATATAAGAGAAGTAGGGCAATAGTTTCTGAACACCTCGCACCCTCATCATGCTGGAGATACTCTAGATACTCTAGACTGGTGCATATTCAATGGTACAATCCGGAAAGGAAAGAATCGGGTCAAACATGCAAGGACAATTCCAAAGAGAGCTTGCTTGGGTGCACGAGGCAACAGCGGCTCCGGCGACCTTGCTGCCAAGAGTAAGGCAGCGGAAAAGTGAGATATGCTCGGAGTTTCGTTTCGTCCGATGCATGTCGTTATGATCTTGGACTTTTCGGTAGCACTTCATCGATTCTTGAGCAGGCCACCACTCCTGCTAATTCGACCAGCACTCGAGCAGCGACCACAAAACCTGCAACTGAGTCGGGGGCCTTGACCTGCAATGCCCATACGGGCGGAGTGCATGATTGGTACAGTAATCTTGATTGCTCTTGGACTTACTACTAGGACTACTTGGAACAAGGACGCTACTAGGGCTCCTGGCCTTACTACTAGGAGCAAGGACGCTACTAGGAGCAAAGGGCATCGCTACTAGGACGCTACTAGGGGCACCTGATTTTCACCCAGGTCTTCAAGCTTTGCCACAATCCCCAAGCTGCGGGAGGCAGGAAATTGCAACAAGCGGGTTTGTGCAGACGTGGAACTTGATGGGTGCCTGGTGCCGAGGCACCTCCACAGGAGCGAACAGACCTCTTCCGTAAGAAGATGGAGGCCAGTGGATGCCATTCATTTGGCCAAAAAGTGAGACTCATTTATCGGGCTGTCCAGGTCGACGAGTTATATACTTGATAACTAAGTTAAGTATTAAGTATTAATGACTCAGGTAGGCCCGGTAGGCAACATCAAAGGACATCTCCTAGATCCTTCAGAGAAACACAACAGATTCTGATGGACGTTTTTTGCTCCAAACCTCATTTTGGCGTTGTGCTCCAGGTCTGCGCAGTTGTTTTTTGACTTTCACAACGACAACATGCAGAAGGTGCCGCTTCGTTGTGTGACAGTCAGCAAACAGTACCTGGTACCTTAATTGCCGATGGAACCCGGACCTTGCAGGATTTGGTAACCGCAGATCTCAAGCAAGTCCGCTATTTTGGTGGTATTGTTGTACATTTAGTCCCGCAAAAAGGCAAGATCTATGTAGCAGCTGGCATGCAATGCTCCGAGATGAAGTCTTGCTAATGGTGGGTCCAAGAGATCTTCAGCGCAGGAAAAAGAAGCCAAGCGCCAGACTCTTTTGGAGATCGTTGAGTGCCCGATTGATGCTGGATTCATGAGACTTACAGTACATGTTTTGCACCACAAGCAGACAGATTCCAATCTCGCCGAACCAATTGTATTTTCCACAATGACATGTTGCAGGCTTGAGAGGCAAAACACATCCAAATCATTAGAATCTAAAATAGTCTAATAAATTTCACTAAGAATCTAAACGCCCAATATCATTAGTGCGAGCGCTTTCTTCAAGCGGCCGGGGGAGCTTCCGTGAAGAAGCGTGAGCTATCCTGCCTCTAGTTACTAGAGGCTAACTAGTCGCCCTTACTGCTTACTTAATTAAGTAGGCGCCTACTTAATTGAGTAGGAAGGCAGGGCCTCGGGCTTTAAAAGATTGCTCCTCACTGAACGTAGGCCGTGTCGAGGTATGTGAACAACACCCGGAACTGCTTCAATGAAGCTTTGATGCAGGATGTTGTTAGCATGGCCCGGTACCACAGCACCCTGATGTCATTGATCGAATCGGGGTTGAGTAGTCCGGCAAAATTGAGATTTCCTGGCTGAGGTTGGGGCAAACATTTTCCGAGCCCTTCAGACTAGGAACAAGGAGCTCTTTTTGATGTGTGTGTGTGAGAGAGTCATTGTTTGTCATCTTCTTTCGAGGGTTCCTGACCAAGAAGCCTGGGTGCCGTCCTCTTCTTGGTGTTCACAACCACTGCAGGATCCCCTTGCGTTCTCTGACCCAGAAGATGTCTGGACCTGAGTTCAGACGCGATGATGTGACATGCATCGGTTGTATCAGATATATAGTCCTCGTATGTCCTCGTTATCATCTCATTGTGCAACTGTGCCGAGGATGAGCCCTCTCTAGAGCGGGCCTGGCCACATTTGTTCGACACTCAAGGGCATGAACAATTTTTTCTGCACTCTTTACGCACCAAGATTGGTGACAGGCTAAAAAAAAAGTGAAAAGGCTCAAAAGTATTGAGAAGGCAGTTATATAGCTGACCCATTCAAGCAGTCAGTCACTCGCTACTGAGGCAGATTGTGTACGAGTTCTTCCTGAGGTTCGTAGTTTCAAACGATGTTGACCCGAAGATCGCCAGAGGCTGAGGTTTCAGAACTACCTTGACACCAAGCCGCAGCCACAGACGATGTTTCTCGCCTCAGGCCAAACGATTCGTGGACCAAAACTTCATGCTCAAGCTGCTTGAGCTGTTTGATTCCGAGGAAAGCTGCCAGATGCAAAGATTTAGCATGGTTTAAGAAGCTCTTGTGCGAGAGACTATCAAAAAGAATAAATCAAAGGCAACACATATCACAGACCTAGCAAGGCCGCATTATATAAGTGGTGCCAGCTTTGCAGGATCCTCGTGAGCGAGACTACTTGAAGACAATTCTGCACCGCATCTACGGCCAGATCTCTCGGAACTGAGATTTGATAGTCAGCCTTACTACTACGAACAAACTACTAGGGGCTCCTGGCATCGCTACTAGGAGCAAGGACGCTACTAGTAGCTCCTGGCATTACTGCTAGTTACTAGAAACAAGAAGCTACTAGGAACTACTAGTAACAAGGGCATTACTCCTAGTAGCAAGAAGCTACTAGGAGCTGGTGCGCTTCCTTTATATAAATATTAGAGCCTGTTTGTAGTTGGACAATTCTTTTCTTTTGAAAATCATAAGCATTGGGGTCGGTTGGGGGCTGGCGAGGGCCTTTGACATTCTCTCTTCTGGGGTGCATACCCCATAGGTGCCCGATTTTGCTTTATTCTTTCATTGTCCGATTGTGAGGCAAATTCATGGCCCTTCGGTCTTTTATCCGTCGTGCCATCCAGCACGTCTTCTTCAAGGCCTTGAGTGCATGGGGGACTTGTACAGCAGACTTCAGATATGTTCAGAGGATTCCTTTCAAAAGGCACCCAGTGTCCCATCCTGGAAAGATCCACGCAATTCCTACTAATTAGGTATATCCTTTCACATTGTTTGTCCTCAATTTGCTTCTTCAATTGTGGCGCTACCCTTGAAATTGATGATTGCGGTTTTTCAGGTCATCTACGAGTCAGAGACTCACAATGGCGTGGGCGAGCTGCTTGAAATCCTAGGTAGCATCATCAATGGCCATCCTGACGAGCTTGATGGCTCCACTTGTAGTTTGGAAAAAGGAAGGTAAGGCCCCCCCTTAATAAGGGCTTAGGGGGCCTTACCTTCCGTTTTTTCATCTCTTAGACCACTTCCTTTAAATGTTTTTCATGATTTGGACAGTTTAATCAATTTTTCCAACGGCCAGGCTTTGCTCTTCCTTTGAAGGAAGAGCACAAGGACTTCCTGATCAAAGCGCTCATCCCATTGCACAAGGCAAAGCCTGAATGGCTTGAGATTGTATATATAGTTGGATCGTGTTGGTTGGGATCGTGTTGAATGGCTTTAGGTCGACGACACGTAGGCACTACAAAGCTCAGTTTGGGGGGCACCGCTTCCTTCAGGTGAAGTCCTTGGCCTCCTTCTATCAGCAGCTGTCTTACTGCATGGCCCAGTATGTTGAAAAGGAGCCCCAACGCGCCCAGCTCCCTTCCGCCCTTTCATTGGATTTCAGTTCGGCACCAAAGAAGGACGCTACTAGGGGCTCCTGGCCTTACTACTAAGAGCAAGAAGCTACTAGGAGCAAAGGGCATCGCTACTAGGAACAAGAGGCTACTAGTTTTGAGGCGCTCTGCTCTTGAAAGCCATCCAAGCTGCAATCCCACTGTATCCAGGATCCGCGTTTGGCATACGACATCATCACATCAATGCTCCGCTACTGGCCAGTCAGGAAACTCAAATTCCACCATACAACTGCACCAACTTCACTTCGCTTGGCTTCCTTGAAAAAGGGGCTTGTGACATTTTACGGAAAACCGGTGCAATTCTTGTTTGAAGATTGCTACCGTCAGGTATCGATCACGTCAAAGCAAGTGCTGTTCCTCAATGAGCTGGAGGACTTGAGCACCGTGTGAATCACTGCATCCTATTCTGCAAGATTACATCTAAACATCTAAACTAGCAGGACTAAGAAGCATTCCATATGTGACTTGATCTTACAACTGAGATCCAGGCTCTCAACTCCACAAGTGCTTCGCACTTCCCACTTCCCCCGATGCGACTGTGACAGGAGACCTTAGAACTCACACAGCCGCCAGAGTTTCACCGAATGCAGGTGAGACTGGGTTTGTGAGAGGTGCTGGGTTTGTGAGAGGTGCTGGGCCACCAGGAATACGCACATGACAAGTTGTTGGGTTAAAGCGAAAAGGATAAGGACACTCTGCTGATATGTGTGCACATGTTTCACAGTTTTCAGCGCTAAGAGTACAGATGCCAAGCCATGCCACGAACGGGATGGCTCTTCTGCCTTCCAGGACGTGCTCTTCCGGCGCTTGGCCCTTTGCATCACCTGCCCACACTTCCAGGTGCTTCATGTCTTTAAGTTGAGTCCCTGACCAACATCTCCTTTGTATTATGCATTACTATATATACTGTATATACATGTATATACAGATACATGTATATACAGGATTCTAAATAATTCTATGTAGTTGCAAGTGAAATGCTATTGTTGTTGCATGACAGGTCGCTGAGAGAACGCTGTTCTTTTGGAACACAGTGACGTGGTTGCAGCTGAAAATGCATTGGACAGGTGTATATATCACGAAAGGTAGCTTGAGCTACCTGAGTTCTCCTTGCTTTAGCAAACATGTATTTACAGCCTTCGGCATGCCGCCGGCCATCAGCTCGAGCCCGCACGGCTGGTCGCCATGGCCCGGGCGTGTGTAGCTGTGTGTAGCTATTGTGTTTTTTTGTGTGCAGGTTATGCAAAGGTTAGCTAACAGAGTGTACGATATCAAAGTGCGTGAAAACAAGGGGTTTGTGCGCGACATGCCTTGGAACATGCACGCTGGCTGGAGATGTTTGTGTCAATGAGGTGCGGCGTCAAAACGAAGTAGTGTAAGAGGCATGTAAGTGGAGAGCAACTGGCCAAAAACAAAAGCTGCGCTGGTGTAAAAGCGAGTGGGCAGCGAACAGTACTTGCAGAGAGCGCGTGTGTAACACAGAGCTTCTGCAAAAGCGACATGTAAGCGAAAAAAAGTAGCGAGGAAATGGTTGCAAGGGGCTTGTGCGCGACATGACTTGGAAGGTGCACAGGTTGCGGTGTCAGAACGAAGTCGTGTAAGAGCCATTGCCTAGAATAACGCCGTGACAGTGTAAGCGATATAGAACCCAATTGGCAGCGAGTTCCCGCAAAACGCGTGGAAAAACCAAGGTTGTTATACGTGTTTCTACACACGCGCGACTGTGCGCCAATGCATGGCCTGCTTGAAAAAGACGAAGAGGGGGAAGAGAAGAGAAGGAGAACGAGAACGAAAAGAGAAGAGAAGCGAAGACAAGAGACGAGACAAGGCGACAAGACAAGACAAGGCGAGAGGGGGGGTAGGAGCGCCTCAACATTAAAAGACGAAAAATGAGTTGGGAAGATGATTTTCTTTATTAAAAGTACGAGCACCTCAACATTAAAAGAAGAAAAATGAATTGGGAAAATGATTTTCTTTACTAAAAGTACGAGCACCTCAACATTAAAAGAAGAAAAATGAATTGGGAAGATGATTTTCTTTACTAACAGTACGAGCACCTCAACATGAAAAAA